ATCATGATAAAGGTTGAAATTTACTTCATGTGTATATAATTGGGTGTGGGTTTGTGTGCACATTTGTGTGTATCCGAGAGAGAGCGAGAGAGAGAGAGAGAGAGAGAGAGAGAGAGAGAGAGAGAGAGAGACAGAGCGCGCGCGCGTGTGCAGGCTGTGGCCCTACCCATTTCATGAGACAATTTTGAGAACAAATGGGAGAATCTCTTGTGAATATTGCTCATAAACAATAAAGCACTAAGTAGCCCTGGCCGGTTTGGCTCAGCAGTTAGAGCGTCGGCCTGCGGTCCGGTGAGACCCGGGTTCGGTTCCCGCTAAGGGCACGTACCTTGGTTGCAGTTTGTCCCCGGCCCTGGTTGGGTCGTGTGGGTGGCAGCCACTCGATGTGTCGCTTTCACGTCGATGTTTCTCTCTCTCTCTCCCTCCCACTCTATCGGAACAAAATATCGAAAAATGTCCTCGGGTGAGGATAAAAAAAATAAAATAAAGCACTAAGTAAATAAAAAGTATTCTAAGTATTATATTATAGTGTATTTATAATCTTTCTGTTCAGAAAAAATGTCTCAGTAGTGTGTACAGAGACTAGGTAGAGCCTCCTTAACTGTATAAGGGGTGTGTGTGTGTGTATGTGGGTGTGTGTGCGTGTGCGCGTGTGTGCGCGTGTATAGGAGTAAATGGCAATCTCATCAAAATCTCATCTGAAGACATAGATCAGAGTCACAGGGTTAGACGGAGCCTTGGGCCCACTGTTTCAGCTCTACACAGTACACATATTTTGAAATAGTCTTGCCAGTGGTCTTCTAATCTCTGATTAAAACCTCAGACGATGGATGCATACTATTTCATGCTTCAGTCTTTCCCTATTTATAGAGCTCTAAGTGCTTAAAGACCCTTTGTTATAATAAGATGAAATCTGCCTTCCTTGTGATTTTCATGCATTGGTCTTGGCTCCGCCATCTGGTGCCTCACACAACGTAGGAAGACTGGAGACAGCCATCGTTCCCGAGGTTTTCTTCTCTCTCCCAGACAGCTCCAGTCCTTCTTTAACAAGTTCATCGTATGTAAGACTTCTCATCTCTGAACTAGCTTATTGTTCTTTGTAAGAATGGAAGCAGGGTCGCGTAGCACCCTGGGCTGTGAGCTGACAGAAGGGTCAAGAGCTGGACCCACCTCCTCCCGTATCTGTGCACATATTTGTATTCACGGCTCCTACTATCACATTAACACGTTTTTTTGTTTTGTTTTGTTTTTTCCAGGGTTTGATATTTAGCCATTCCTTCCTAATTCTGCACATAAGTAGCTGGTTTTCTGGGTGTAAGAGCAGGACTTCATATGGATTCTCATTAAATTAAGCCATTTGTGCAATTCTATTGAAATACTTTTATATCTGGCCCTGGCCGGTTTGGGTCAGTGCTTAGAGCATCAGCCTGTGGACCAGAGGGTCCCGGGTTCGGTTCCCGCTAAGGGCATGTCCCTCACTTGCAGTTTGTCCCCACCCCAGCTGGGGCTGTGTGGTGGCGACCACTCGATGTGTCTCTCTCCCATTGATGTATCTCTCTCCACCCCCCATCTCTCCCTTCCACTCTATTTGAAGGTAAATGCAAAAATGTCCTCTGGTGAGGATAAAAAAAAATACTTTTATATCTGGACTCTATCACTAAATGCATTTACTGTCCCTGCTGGCTCCACCTTGGCTGTTGTCTTTATGAAGAGTCCTTTAGTCTTTCCTCAAAATTGTTGATAAAATACTTGGACATAAAAGGGTGAAAGGAGATCATTCAAAAGCTATAAATTCTACCTGTAACATCTTGACTTACTGTTAATGTTAAATTTTCATTGAGAATTCAGCTCTAAGTTTGTACTGAGGGTTGACTTAAGCAGCCATACACAAAAGGCCTCTGTATTTTCTATAAAATTCAATTGGGTGATTCAATGTCTCATTAGTGGAAATCCCATAGGAAATTTCTCTTGGAGCTCAGGGATAGGAAAAAATAAATTTCTCCCAAGGATAGCTGAGGTGTTATGAGTTTCCTTCTTTTTGACTTCTAAGATGCTCTATCTTTTCAAATGTTTAGAGATGCATGGAATTATTTCTTTACTTTCTAAGTAGGGCATTAGAAAGCTTTCCCTAGAGTTCTGAAGTAGTTAAGGTTTTTTTTAGCCCTACAGATCACGTCCTTCCAGAATTTGTTCTCAGTTTAGAATGGTATGTTCTGAAAATTTTCCATATTCACTTCCATAAATGATTCTTTATTTTAAGTGTAAACAGTAATAATTTGATCATCTGCTAATGTTTTCTCTCTTTATTTATTTATCTTTTGACCCTTTCATTAAAGAGTAATTTTTTTTCATTAAGTACTTGTGTTTGACTGGAATCATTTATACTGAAAACACTTCTGAGCTGGGTGTTAGAAGCCCAGGGTCTTTGCTTAGATTAACTACTCTTTGTGTGACCACGGGAAACACACTGGGCTGTACAGTTTCTCATCTGCAGAAAGAAAACTACCTCTTGGTGAACATCTGATAAATATTAGACACTTAAAATGTATACAACTAACTTTTAAATATTTAAAAATAGGTCATTTATAATACATGGTCTGAGTATATGGATGTGCAATATTTTAAACACCAAATTTAGGAGCTTTTAAAGCCAATCCAATGTGGTCAGCAAGCATTATATCAGAAAGGCAACACTTTAGAGGTTGGCCATTATAAAAATATTTGTTATACCTATTTCAATGAACAAATAATGTTTTGCTTACTAGCAAAAATATGGCAGAAGTGATTCTCATTGGCGAAATTAGTGACTCATCAACAAGAACGATAAATAGAATTTATTTAATGAATATTCTACTTAATCTCGGTGGAATACTAAAGACTTCTGGAGACATTCCCCACATGAACAGGGTACAAAAATCATAAAGAGGCCCATGGCCTGTACCATAGGATTAGTGGCATAAGTTTGATTGCTAAACTTTCCTATTAACAATGATCAGTTTAATACAATTTCTGGTTGTCTGATGCTGAACATAGAGATACCAAAATTCTGGTCTTGAAATGTTTTATCTGCCTCCAGAAAACCTTCTTTCTAGGGTAATGATTGGAACATCTGAATGGACAGGAAACTATGATTTCATCTAACTTATGGAAGAGGCTGCATGAATCCATTTAATGCCTTTTTGCGAAAAAAGTATTTGCTAAAATGTGCCTGTAAGTATAGCAGAAGTTGCTTTAACATAATTAGCATGAGCATCATCATAGGAGGACTTCTAACCCTCTTCAACCTGCATCAGTAACCTCCCTTACCTACCAAAGATGTGTCTGACCAAACTATCACTGGATAGTTCTCAAGCGACATTTTGTCTTATTTTAATTGTCATCAGCACCCTTCAAGTTACTATCCCCCTTATCCCAATTAGAAAATTCAAGTTGAGGGGATATTAATCCATAATCATATGGATATTGGGTGGTAGAGTCATTGCAAGAAATGGATGGGTAATTATTAAATGCCTACAGCTGTGTTCCTTGCAAATGTGTGGGTTAAATAAAGCCTCTTTAGCTCACCTTGACAGGTAGCTAAAAGTTAACTACCTATTAAAGTGATTTAATATATATTCATTGTTGCTTTATATAACTACAATTACTATTAATATTAATATATTTTTGGTTCCTTTTTGTACTTTTCATGTTTTAAAATCTCTAATTTGTTTAGGCCTCCCCAATATATTCAGAAAAATTGTAAATTTATACACTAAGGCACAGATTAATTACTTTGTGACATAATTACATGACCAAGCTCTAGAGCAGTCTACAAGAAAGTTTGACTCTGAAATTATCAGTTGAAACATGTTTTGAAAAAGTCATAGTTATCTAAAGGTCAATAAAGAGCTCATCTCAAAGCATTGTTACATAGAGAAAAGTAACTGAAATGGTAATTTTAGAATTGGAATGCTGAAATGATAGAGATAATATTCACGGACTGACTATTTTCATATACATCAGAGATCAGCAGAATTTAATGGATAGTTTGGGGGTCTATAAAACTACTAAAAAGAAATAAAATACAAGATACAAATACAGAACAATTCCCCTCCATAGTTACCAATAAAATATTACATTTTAAAGTAAATTTTATTGTAGATAGTCTAAACAGAAATCATATGTCGACAAAAAATATCTAGTTTATTAAAATCTTAAGTTCTTAGGAAAAAGAAAGGTAATAGAAAAGTAATCGACATGTTACTATTTATACTTCTGAAATGTGTGCTTTTAGGTTATTTACTTTTGCTGTATGTAGAAGATATGAAGAGAAAATTATTCATTTTATAATAAGGTATTTCTTTGGTAATTCATTATTACATGCAGAAGTAATGGCATCCAAAGAATATAAGGTTATAAAAAAAGTATGTTCCAGCTTTTAGTTTGAAATATTATACATTTTAATTTACTTTAACTTCATATGAATATTAAAATATATATTGAATAACAGATAATGTAATCAAACATTTTTGTGGGGGAGGCTGACATTTTTATTACACTATAGCTGCCCACTAGGCTTAAAAATGATCCGCGCAGTAGCCTTTTCCATATGTATTATATATACATTAGAATTATCCTTTTTCTTTAATTAAAATAAAAAATATAGGGTAATGAGTTTTATCTTTATTTTGAAAACGTATTTTCTTATAGCAATTTTGAATAAAAACTGCCTAGAAATAAATATGTTTTTCTAAACATTAATTCAATTAAAGTATATATGAGAAAAATTCTACCAGTTGGGATGATTTTCCAGATAGTTCACACATACTGTATCTGAACAAGATGAAATGAGACATAAAACTGTAAAATTACTGCTTTGGCTGGTTTACTATTCATCAAAGCTTAGCCATTTGGAGCCCAAATTATGATTCGTTCCAGGATTTCAGCACTGACTTCAGGAACAGCGGGGGCGGGGGAGGATGTGCTTAAGGAGCACACCTTGGGATATTTTATGAACATACCACTCCGTTCACCGATAGCAGCTGGTCTCCTCTTTTGAGGCCTCCGTGTCTTTCCGCCACCCCTCCGGGAATGATGCGAGAGATATAAATGGGGGAATTTTGCTCCTTTCCTCCCATCACGTTAAAACCAAGGCCTTCATCAGTCTTTGGCAGTTCGACTACCCGAGGGTGGGAGTGACCTTCGCTAGCAGCAAAAGCTGCAACTGTTGCCTGAAAGAAAAGACGGTTACTTGGTAATAAAACGAGGGAAGTAAGGCGAAGCATAGGCTTTGCGGTGGGGAAATCAGGCAACTCCTCCTATTTTTATAGCCTTCTCCTGTGAAGGAAAGAACACGAAATGGAGCGGTGTTCTTCATCCAGATGTGAGTCCTTTTCTTTGGTAAAGCGCAGCCCAGCCCAGCTATTTATTTCTAGCTCTCTAGACATTATTCATTACGATAAAAACGTCCCTTCTTCAAAAAAAAATTTTTCCAATTCCTTCAGTTAGATGGAATTCCTCCTATTCTTGTTCTCCAAATAGGTTTGGGCCAAATGCTACCTACATATGGCACATATACTGTAATTATTATGTATGTACAGTGACCACTGTCACCTGAAGGGCAGAGTTTGTGGCTTACACTTCTTTGTATGACATAGTCTACCCTGGTGCTTGTACACAAATCTTTATAAATATGTATTCAATACACTGAGAAGCACTTATATGTATATATACTGGTAAATACATCTATAATTTTGCTATTGCCAGACCACTGGCTTAGCAAAAATTATTTTCTGAGGATGCCTAAAAAAAAAATAAAAGCTATAATACAATAATAGATTAAAACAGATTATTATTACATGTCAATATTTCATATTATTTTGAGAGGTCCTCTTCTCTCCGGTTCCCCCCCCACCCCGACATTTTACATTACTATTTCAACGACTATAGCAATGTAGGCACAATGAGCAGTCTATAGTTTTATACCTAGACTCACAAAATATGGACATAATTTTATTTTAAAATTCATACATTAATTTTTAAAAAATATGTTGAAGTCAACAACTTACCATTAGTTCCCACCCCTCATGGAAATAAAATTACAGCATTTAAGCAGTTTCTATCAAGAAAAGATTCTCTGCCTGCTCATTTTCCACCTCGATTAACCTTTCTTAAGCAGAGTTGATTAGATGCCTACTATAAAGTGATTTAACCAACACTATAAAAATATTGATTCCCAAGTACTGTACATTCTTTTCCACACACAGCATTATCATGTCAATTTAGCATTATGCTACTGTCTGCATTTAGTGGAAGACAGTGAATGATATGGAAATAATGGCTTATTTTCAGCTACATGCATTTGCTCATGCAAACCTTGTCATCATGCATAGATTTTAATGGCTGACATGGATGCAATGCAGACAGCCCAGAAACAACCAGAAAATATTGTGCTATTGCAACATTATGCTGCTCTCCTGCTGTTCTACATGAATAAGAAATGAGAATGTTAAAACACTACATAATTCACTCTCCCCTTAATTAAACCATGTAGGGATCATTTTTTTTTCTGTGTGTGTTCCACTTCAGTACAAGCAAAGCATGATATAAAGATAATAATACCCTCTTTTTTGCTTAGGTTAAAAAAAAAAAAAAAAAAAAAAAAAAAAAAAAAACCCTTACCAATCTACAGTGTTCTGTTGCAGGATGATATCTAAGACATCAGGAGGGAAACCAAACAAGGGGTGATGTAACACAAAAAAGAATTAAATTCAAAATTCTGACGATTTTCACCAGTTCTTAGTTCTCATACATTATTAAAAACAAAAACACTTTAAAAAAGTAAGTGTCTATGTGTTATGACATTTCTGTATTTGTACAATAAGAACTGCACTGGCAATTTTAGCTTAAAACTATTATTTCCTAATGGACTATTTTCCAGATAATTTCCTGATCCTGTCGCTGTAACGTTTCCATCAGTAGGGTCTCTACAATATCTGGATTTAAGTTTTTAAAGAGCAAATGTGGTTACTACCACAAAAGGTGACAGGCCTTCCTTTTGGGTTAGCATCACATTCTTTCAGCTACGCACTACTCTGCTGGACACCTGGAAGAACCTGTATCACTGAGTGTCAGGTCAGTTCTCTTAACGATTAACTTAAATCAAATCTTTAGATTTGTGCAAATGAATCTTCATGCACTGAACAGGGAACAGGTTCTTTTGGATCAGAGGAATGTGTCAGAAAACCAAGTAGTATTTCATAGAATGAATCAGTAGATTTGCTTGTGCCAAATGGACATTTAGTGAGTTTAATGAAATCATTCTCCTTTCTTAAGCTACAGAAGCAGCAGAAACGTTCAATTTTCCGTTAGGATTTTTACCTGGGAAGTAGTACTGGTTCTAGACTCTGGGCTGCCACTGATGTCTAAATTCTCTTACAGTGTACACACGAGAATACCTGAAACACACACGCGCACAATCAATTACTAGATCACTGGGGTTAAATATATTTTTAAAGTTACTCAAGCCTTACCTTTGCTGTGGCCCTGGCACGGAATTCGGGACAGCCATTAACAGTTATCGTTTCGTGCATATATTGATACACCTAAAATGTTCACATAAAAAAAAAAGAATGTGTAAGACATTAAGCATATTAATTCTTTCATTGAAGATAGGACGATACATTTTCATCGCAATACAAAAGTTTCCCATTACAAAGTGAAATAGGCCTGAGTCAATTATTCTGATGATTTGGACCAAAAATCCCTTGTATTTTTTTTGAGGGGGGGAGTTTGGGGCAGAGAAGGCAATCACCTTTATTCATAAGTTTTTAATTTGGCTTTCCATGTTTATCAAATGTAGAAACTCAGTTTTCTTACATATATTATACAAAGTACTTTGGTGGTAAAAATATTTTAGCATCCTATATAGCTCTGTCTGTCAAATATGTGATAAAAATATTACTTCCTGGATCCATATAACACTTTAGAAATAGTTTTCTGAATTAATATTCCACAAAACCAGGATGACTATCTTTTCTTTGCATGTTGGAGAGTATGTTACTATTCATAGCATACTCATAATTTATAGATAAAAAAAAGTATTCAGGAGCAAAAACAAGACAAGTAAGAGATTCTTAAAAGCAGTAACACACTAAGATATCAACTATGGGTTCATGTTAACATTTAGATGAAATAGTAAGAAAGGGGGTGAACTCTGGACCCAGAAATCATGATGTTGTCGAAAGCATACAGGTTATACTGACTAAGGGACCTAAGTTTGAGCCTTATATGAATACAATTGGGCCAATTATTATTATTATTTAATGTTTCCCACATTATTTGACTTCAATCTTTTGGAAAGAAATCTTCTAGGATTGTAAATTCATCGACACTTTTCGTGAAGAAGATTGAAAACTGTAGTGCTCACCTGGGGCCAAAGCTCCCCCCAACCCCCAGGCCGCATTTGGCCACGTCTGGAAACATTTTGTGTGGTCGCAAACAGGGAGGAGGGCAGTGCTCCTGGGGTCTGCCCAGTGCTGCGAAACACCCCACAGTGCTCAGGGCATCCCCGCCACAAAGAATTGTCTGCCAAAATGTCAGGCGTGTTGAGACTGAGAAAGCCCGAACTAAGGAATTGTTCCTTAGTTCCTTCTCATATGCAGTAATTCGTAAAAACACACTTGTATAGCACAGAGTAAAGGGTCTTGGAAAAGTTCCATAAATAGTTTTTGGAGTAAATGTATCATGATTCTGGTGTGCATTTAATGAGGGCTTACTCTAAGCCAAGTGTACTGCTAAGCACTTTATATCTATGAGCTCATTCATAGATATGTGATTCAGGCGCTCTACACCCAAGGAAACAGCCTGTGATCACACAGCTACTTAGTGGCAGATTTAGTACAGAGATTCACACCTCACGGCCTCCAACATCTTTCCTCTTTCAGCCACGGCAGACTTTCTTCTATTAGGACAGCATCAGACCATTTGCTATTCTGGCAGCATGTGTGGAAAGGAAACCTTGCAGGTGTCAAAAGTATTTATTTCTATTTTGAATAAAGGTATTGAGGTTTCATATGGCGCCTGCCCTAACAGAAGTGGTGGTTGTCAATGTGTGATACAATTCTGAAAACAACACATTCATCCCCCCGAAGGAAAGTGAAGTAGGATTTTGATCCTCCTTTAGGAACACAATATACAAAGATTAAGTGAAATAATTCCAATATTATTGCCGGTGTTCTTTTTCCTTTTTTAATGAAATAGTAGATTCCAATTAGTTGATTTTCCAAAATGGGCTGAAGGGGACAAGGTCTGGTGACAGAGTCAAGTCAAAACGTAGAGATATTAATTCTATTTCTAATAGTTGTATCACCTTATGAGAGTTTTGTAGCCTCTCATTCCCTAAGGGATAAAATATATCTTTGCCTCTCTTACTTTACAAGGACAATTGTAAAAGTGTTTGTGAAATATTGAATGCGTTTTTTCACGGAAAGCTAAAGTATCTTACCAGATATCCTAAAGGATTTCTTACGGGGAAAACTAAAAGTGAGCTAAACAAGGGACAGTGGGGCTTACAGTCTACAGAATCCTTTGGGTCCCCAAACTTCTGGCAATCTTTAGCGACAGCGTTTCTAAACACATTCCACTGGTTAAGATGGGTTTAGTTCCTAGTGAAAGTCCAACAACTGATAGACACTCTAACAGTTTTACCTGACATTTTAGTGTTAGTAATTTCCTAACTTTGAGTAATTACCACAGATTCAATGGCACTTTGCATAGTTAGAACATATTGCAAGCTATTGAAAATGTATAAATACATATTAATTCAGTAAAGGCAATGGAAGTGTAGTGAGTTGGTTCAGAAGGTTCATTCATTCATTCATTTGTTCTGCTAACATTCTAGTTAGGATGTTAGGCACCTAGGCCAAAATAGGAAAGAATACTTCTAAAACTTTGAATTAACATTAATGTTCATGATAGAGCGGGTGTCGTACATTAAAAAAAATAAATTATTTAAATTTTATTTTTCTTTGTATTCGAAAGCAAATAAACTCCTTTTCCTGGATGGAAATTTTATCACTGAGAGAATAACAAACACTAATAAAGTAAAAGCTTTGTTTTAACTTCAATTTATTTACCAATTTTACAATAGAATTCCCATTTAGATAGAGTTTAAGGCAAAGAGCTAAAATTCTAGTGCAAGAGGATTTTTGCTTTTGATATTTCATTTATACATGTATATATAGGCTATGTAGACAGTGTCTCAATATAAACTTTACACTAAATCATTCTTGATTTTGAAAACCTTGATTGCTACAAAAAGGAAGGTAAAGCATAACAATTCTATATCATGAGTTTCTTGCCCTGGATCCCTTTTTTAAGTGACTTTAAACTCCCTAAAATCTATGTATCTTACTTTCCAGGTATATAAAGCCCCAAAGAAGCAAAGAAGATAAAGCATGTGGCCTCATAAGCCATAACCCATTATTCTTATAATAATAGCTACTATATTTCCATTATTACTTTTATATCCATGCTTAAGATGCAGTTGGAACGATGCTTTTAGAAGTTAGCTATTTGGCCAGCAAAGTGTGGAAAAAAATCCCTGTGTTAAAACCTAGATTTTGATTGTTATGTCTTCTGCTCTTATAGTTTTATTATCTTTCATATTTTGATGTTATTTCAAAACTGTGGTGGGAGGAAGACGTTAGGCTGGCCCTCTTAACCCAACCTGCTCGGCTGAGCATCACCTGGCCCTGTGACCCAGTTCTGCCCAATGAGAATTCAATTAGAAATAGCAGAGAGGCTTCTGGGAAAGCGCTTCTCTCTTGGTACAAGTTCTGTTCTTTTTCCATGTCTACTTCTCGTCCTTAGTGTGGATATAATGAATCCTGGCAGGTAGCTGCCTTCCTCTCAACTTGTAACAAGGAAAAATCGTCCTATTTGTTTAGGCCACAAAGTTAGATTTTTTTCTATTTTCAGCCAAGAGAATTCCTGATTGTTACATTATTCAAGTAAATGTTATACAGAACCATGCTATCTTTAAAGTCAGGTATCTTCTAACCCCATACATTCCAGAAGTTATACTGTAATTTGTTCATTAAGAATTGGTGCAAATTTGTTAATCTGAGGGCTTAGAAATGGAAAGAGGATAGACTAAAATTGAAGTTTAAAAAAAGGAGACAGAGACGAACTCTTAGAAAAACACTGTTAAAAAAATAAAAAGACAAGCTGACTGGGAGAAAATAATTGCAAAACACATATCTCATAAAGACCTCATACCCAGAACATACAAAGAACTCTCAAAAGTCAATAATAAGAAAACAATCCAATTAAAAATTGGGTAAAGTATTCGAACAGGCATGTCATCAGGAAAGATACAGGGATGGCAAATATAAAAAGATACTCAACATAGTCACTAGAAAAAAATTGAAATTAAAACCATAATTAGGTATATCTATACCTAATTATGGGTATAGAATGTCTAAATTTAAAAAAAATATTGACAAGACCTAGTAAGGACAAGAATGTTGAACAGCTAGAACGCTCATATATTGCTGGTTGGAATGAAAAACTGCACAGCCACTTGAAAAAACAAGATAACAGTTTTCTACAAAGTTAAAACCTATATTTACATTAAGATTCAGTTATCTACTTTGAGCTACTGATCCATGATAAATACAATGTATACGCATACAGAAACGAGATGCAAACACTCAGAGCACCTTTATTTATGATTGCCATAAACTGGAAATAACTCAAATAGCTTGCTACTGTGAATGAAGAATCAAATGTAAGTACAGCCACACCAGGGAACACTGCCAGACAATAAACAGGAACAAACTACTCATATTTGAAACCTGTGACTGAATCTCAAATGCATGTTTCTAAGTGAAAAAACAAAACAAAACTCTATGATGATTTTATTTACATGACACTCTAAAAAAGGCAAGTAATAGGGACAGGAAACAGATTAAAGGTTGTCAGAATCTAGGGGTGAGGATGAGTTTCTACCAGGAATGGTGGAATTTTGGGGGGGCGTTTGAACTGCTCTATATTTTAATAATGGTGATGGGTACATGATTTTATGTGATTATTAAAGCTATACACTGAAAAGGGGAAATACTACTCTATGTAAGTTATACTTTAATAAATCTAACTTTTAAAAAAGCAAAATATATTTTTTATCCTCACCCGAGGACATTTTTTCCATTTTTTTTGTTCAGGTAGAGTGGGAGGGAGAGAGAGGAAAAGAGAGAGAGAGAGAAACATCGATGTGAAAGGGACACATCGAGTGGCTGCCACCCACACGACCAACCAGGGCAGGGGACAAACTGCAACCGAAGTACGTGCCCTTAGCGGGAACTGAACCCGGGTCTCTCGGGACTGCAGGCTGATGCTCTAACCGCTGAGCCAAACCGGCCAGGGCCAAAATAAATTTTTTAGAAGTGAAAATATTTATAAACTTAATAATGATTTTAGAAAGTAAAAATAAAGAATATAAAACACAAAGACCTACATATAATTAAGAAATTATTTAATATCATTTAAAAATGACATTAGCCCTTGATTTTCAAAGTTTGTAAATAGACAAAGCAACAGATAT